ACTATCAGGTTCACTCACACTAGGTCAGTGATAGAACCTGACAGTACCTCCATGAGCCATAAACCAAGCTATCAAACTATATAACATTTCAGTACACTTCAAATACACAATACTTGAAAAAAATCAAGTAAAGGATGAACTAAGAACTGATACACAAATCATTTTAAGCAATTATTACAGGCCGACTATGAACATAAAGTAGAGAAAATCAAACTATAACAAATAGGTAGATCATTTCAATAAACTGAAATCAATTCTCGTGTTTCATCATTCCCAGTTTACTTCATTTTCTGACTTATCTCACAGCCATCATGGTTACAAGAAAATGTACCTGAAATGGTAAAAATGAGTGAACAAGGAGAATCAGCAGCTAGATTTGAGCAGAGAATGAACCAGCAACAAACAGTCCAGATTTAATGATGTAACCCAAAATCAACAGCTCAAAACTCTGATGGATCAGTAAACTCAACAGTACAAAAACCCCAAAAATGCAATCTGAACAGGAGGTACTGAATTCTAATAACCAAAGCACCCAAAGGAGATCATTGACTGACTTTCAACCCATTTCAAGCTAGAAGGTGAACCCCAACTCTGATCAAAAGATGCTTTTCCCAAAAATTCAAACTCAGACTCGATGGAACAGTCGTAGCTTATACTTCCTGTATTTTTCTTATATTTTAGCTCTCTAATGCTTATCTTTCAGAATCTGTAGGCTCTGTCTTTTGTTCTGGATTTTTTTAGCTCTTTTTTTTTCTTCCTTGAAAGGCAAGTTTAAGATGCCTTTATAGGCAAGGGACTAGGGCAGACCTTATGTTTTCAATTTTGCACCCTGCCCCCTCTTGAATTCTCATTTTAGCTTAGCTAACCTCCAATTATTGACTTGCTATCCAAGCTAAACTACTTAAAAACCTGAAATTGGCTAGTAATCCCTACTAGAAGCTTCTTCTTTCAGTTATGAAAAGATTCCCCTCACTTAAACTACCCAAATCACCCCTGTAGCTACTGTTATTTACCCTGAACCCACTCGGACCAACTGGTCAAACTAATTGGGCCATAGACCTTGAATTGAAACCAAGAGTGGGCTCAAATCTGTCCCAATGACCCAAAATGACACATTTTATCCAATTAAAACTATAAGCCAGAATAACGCAAATGCTGAAATGACTTCGATTCTTTTAAAAATCTAGACTAAACAATTTATCAACTAGAATTAATAAAACTAAACTAAACCAAACGAACTTAAACAAACTAGGCCCAAAACAAGGTTTAAAGAAACCAGCAGCGGACAGAAATCAGTTCTAACTAAAACTCGTCCAAATTTAAAATTGCGTACTGGGGAGAGGGAGAACAAGGGGGAATGGACAAGAACTAAGAAAACAAAAGCAATAAAAGAAAGATAAAAGATGAAGACACTTACTGAATCAAGCTCGATTTCGACTGACTTCGCATTTGATCCCCAAATAATGTTATCCACTTGTTCTTTGCCAAGAACAAGCGAACAACATTTTTTGAAGGCCAAACAGACCTTGAACTCTAAGGGGACCTTGAGAGGTGCCTCTGCATGAATGACTTTGACTATGGCATGGCGGGTCTTGAGCTAAGATTTGGAATTCGACGAGTTCAAGCCATGCTTGAGGAAAACTGACTATGGGATAGGGTAGAGGAGATGAAGGAGGTAATGGGGTGTAAATTTGGTGGTGGATTGGCGGTAGCGCCGTCACCGGAGAAAACAGGGCGGCGGCTAGGGTTTCGGAGTTTTGAGGGATTCCGGTGGGATTTGAGGGGAGCTGGTGGTGGATTCATGATGAGGAAGAGGAGAGGGAGCTTTGGTGTGAGTTTGGGGGCGTTTGGGGGCCGGCCGCCGCCGTAGGCGAATTCCGGCGGGCGGCAGGCGGCGTTTGAAGGCGGAGCTCGGCAGGGTCTCTGAAGAGTTAAGAGAGATGACTGGGGGTAGGGGGAACGTTTGGACATATAAATATTAATGACACCCCTAGTTCGAGACCGTCGGATCAAGATAGATCAACGGTTGATATTCTTCACCACGAAACGGGGTCGTTTTGGTATTAACCGGAGACGGACCGGGTGGGGTAATGGTTTTGGGCTGGGTTAAAGGTTTATGGGCCAGGTATTTGGACGAAAATTTGGGTTGGGGGGTTTGATTAATTGGCCTGGAGTGAATTTGGCCAAAATTTGGTTTTTTAATAAAGAAGACCCAATTCTTTTAAATTCTTTTCTTTTATTTCCTTTTTATATTTCATTTTGTATTATTTTTTTCTGATTTTATAAAAATGCAAAAATTAAAATGAAACCTAATTTATTTCCAAAATTAAGCTAATTAATTCCTATTTAAAATAAACTCAAGACAAATTCAACAACTAACAATTAAAAAATGCAAAAATGGACTATTTTTGTTATTTTCTTTAAATTTTGTTCTAAAACAACTTAACCACTAAATAATCCTTAAATATGAAATTAGATCCTAAATGCAAATGTCAGGCATATTTTTTATATTTTTCATATGAAATAAAAATGCACAAATAAAATGCAAACAATTAACAGAAAATAACACAAAATTCACAAAAGTGTAAAATAATGAAGGAGAAATTATTTTGTTTGAATTTTTGGGAATAATTCATATATAGGGCAAAAATCACGTGCTCACACTATGTTATTAAGAACTTTGGTTGAAAGTAGAGTGTATTGCTATATGGTTTGGGACGGAGGCATGAGGTAGCCACTATGCATCTACCTGCCATGTTAAGACAATTTGACTTCCAAGCAGGCAACCTTGCAAGCATATTATCAAGAACAAATTGAAAGTTAGCGGCTCTAGGTTTCGAGTTTGTGATCAGAAAACCTAAGTATTTGCCAAAGGTATTACTGATGTTGATATTAAGAAGGTTTGAGAGATTGGAGCCAATATTTTTGGGGCATTTTTTTGAGATGATGATCTTTGATTTTGCGCTATTAATGGATTGCCCTACCAGGTAGCAAAACAAATCAAGACATTGCTTTATGGTTGTTATGGAGTTTTTATCGATCTTTGCCCTTAGCGTAAGATCATCCGCAAAGAAAATGTGTGATAATTGGTGGTTGTTATTTCATATAGTATTCAGATTCCAACATCCCAGATCTACCTTATTGTTGATGAGTATAGAAAGCATTTCCATGCAAAGAATAAACAAATATGGGGACATTGGGTCACCCTATCTAATACCTATGCCGGGGGGAAAGTATTCAGTTCTAGACCCACTAACCAGGATGGCTATTTTGCTAGATGTGACACAGTTCATAATGTGCTTTGTGATATCTGGGGGAAATTTAAAAAAATTGAGAGCTCTATAGACAAAGGACCATTCAAGACGGTCAAAGGCCTTTTCATGATATATTTTTAAGATCATATTATGATTCTTACAACGATACTTATTCATCTTAAGGATAATTTATTGGATAATGATTGCATTATCACATGCTTTTCTATTTTTAAGGAAACTAGCTTGAAAGGGGCTAATAAGAGTATTTAAGAAAGGCTTCAAACGGTCAGTATTAATCTTAGTAATAATTTTATAAATAATATTGCATAATCCTATGGGTCTAAATTTTTTTAAGTTATTAGCATTCAGAATCTTTGGAATTAGACAAAGGAAGGTGTCATTTATGCCTTCAGGAATTATGCCACTATTGAATACATCCTGGCAAAGGCTAGTAACTGAGCTACCTATTATGTTCCAATATTTTTGGAAGAAAAAAGGATGAAGACCATCCAGGCCAGGAGCTTTATAAGGTTTAAAGGAAAAACAGGCTTTCATAATTTCAAAATTGGTGATGGGATTATCTAACGAAGATAAATCTGTATTAATAAAGCATTTGGGGTCCTTTTTTATACTATTTCAATCACTGGATACATGCGAAGTTGTATAGATTTTTTTAAAATAATCATTTGTATGGTTATTGACGGCTTCAGGGTCATCAATCCAGTTATCATTTTCATTTTTAAAGAAAATAATTTTATTTTTCCTATTTCTGTTAGTAGCCAACTAGCCATTATTTGATAAAAATCGGTATTTGCATCTCCCTCGTTTAACCAATGAATTCTAGAACGAAGTTTCCAGTAATCTTCCTCTATTTTAAGAATGTTGTTGTAATCATATTTTATAGATGATTCTAAAGTTTGGAGGAAGGTACTGGAGTGGTATTTTCTCTCACTTAGTTCTCCAGGTTGGCAATGGTGCCTTAACCAAATTCCAAAATAAGAAGACTTGGTAAATTCAATATTTGCATTGGCATAACCTATTTTGTATAATCATCACTTACTTTTAAAATGAAACCTTAATGTAATGTATATAATCTGCATATTTAATCAACTAATAGTTAGTCTTTTTTCATTCCATTTCAGTTACTTAAACATAGATTGAAGCAACCAAAAAAAAAAAGCACTTTATAGAGTTTTGCCACAAACTAACTGAAATTCTAACCTGATAGTTGGAACTTTTCCCCTTCCCTTTAGGGCCTACCCCTCCCAAATTACTAACCTGTTTGGCCAATCTACAAACTTATTTTGAGTTTTTCCGATGAGAAATATTTTGTATTTTGCTAATTAATTTTGAACAACAAATAATGTTTGGCCAAGCTTTTAAAAACTGTTTCTAAATGTATTTTTCTCAAAAATATTTTTGAAAAGAAGCTAATTTTTTTGCTTCTCCAAAAAAAATATTTTTATTCTTCCAAAAGCTTGGCCAAACACTTCAACTCTGAAAAAAACACTTTTCTAAGTACTTCTAGGATTGGAGAAGCTTGGTCAAACAGGCTAATACATTTGCCTAACTTTTCTGCCCGATCAGCTTGCGCACACATCAATTATTCCACGGGATATCTATTATCTCTCGCCAGCACAAGTACGCGACCCACCGGATATTACAACATTTTTCACAAGTCTACTTTACTCAAGTTTCTTGAGATCTATTATGCCCACCATGTATCCTAACTGCATGCCAAACACAACCAGAAAGCTAGAACTTAGCATAAGCATATATAAAGATACTAATGCTTCAACATACAATGAAATCAGGACTTGGTTACATGGTATTAAATCCAAGGCTGTTTAAAAGACACCATACACCTACCAAATACTCAAAACCTCTTGGGGTAATCCACATCAAAACCTAATAAAACTGAGTAAAAAGATACCGGTCTCTAACCAGAGGAAACAAAGGTCTTTAAGATTATCAATTCAACTAATTGGTCATCAGAGACTTTCGACAGCATGGGATGAATTGTTGGAACTAGAATTTTACATCATTTCAACTTTTCCATAAAATGGCAGCAGATGTATTCCGCTTATCAATGTAAAGCTTCAATGTTCTTAATATAGTCACTAGTTGCTCCTTTGGGCCCCAGGTAACAAGGTTGAAAGACTGGGAACTCCTTGGCTTCTCATTTCCTCTTGTGCTTTTCTAATTTCTTCAGGATCTGCCACATAAAAACAAGTGCAATCAGCAGAGTAACCAAAGACACTTCACGTGTTGTCAGTCTTTTCTGAGAGTGGACCGGGAACTACGCAAGTATCAAAATGTAAAGCAACTTCCAGAAATGTTTCCCAGATGGCCACACATATCAATCACTCGACTTTTTCCGCTGGACATAAGTATAACTATGATACAACAGTTAGTGGTGGAGTAGTAAAAAAAGAGGTAGTCAGTCATTTATAGGCCTTGATATGGTAACAATGACATCTGGTGGCTGAACGATAGCTACGAGTTTTTTGCTGATTCAGAAGGTTGAAAGAGTGAGTAGGAAAGACATTTTAGGTTCACCAAAAGGAACGTCTAGCTCTCAGTACATCAATATACTGCAAACAGTGCATACCAATTGGATAGACTTCCACGGAACAAAACGGATTAAAAAGAATTGGATCGAAATAGATGAATTATGAACTTAAATAAAATTCATCCACCTTTTAAGCATGATAATAGATGGACAAATTTTTAAATTGAGAAAATATTTGACCAAAAAGAAATAGGTATAGTGCTTTTTACTGTATCTCCCGTCTATCTGCCTCCATGACCGCCTTCTACATGTCTCCTTGTCCTTTAATTCGTTCTGTTCACATAATACTACTAAACTCTAGTTTCATCACATCTCATATTGAGCAGAAGTCGTACTAGAAGAACCTTAAAGTCATCACTTACCGGAGAACCAAAAGATAAAAAGTGTGTGTCTGTGAGTGAGTGTGTGTGTGTGTGTGTGTGTGTGTGTGTGAGAGAGAGAGAGAGAGAGACGAATAACTCAATGCCGTCACCCTTAATGAACCTACTTTTCAAGCAGAAACCTGAAGCATATACATAATCAGAAAAAGTTTTTTCCTTCACTGAGCAATAGCTGCTGGATTCCAAGGTTTGAGATATCCAGAGCTGGGTAAACCAGCAATAAAACTCTAAACATGAGCTAGGAGGGGTCTGGCTAAAGAATAATTTAAATAAGTCTAGGGAATTCTTTCGCGAACTGAGATGTGTTATTCTATCAGACGCATACAAAGCGCCACAGATTTAAACATATACTACAAACACAGGTATCCAGGGATACATAACAGGCACATGCTACCTACTAGATAGATCTATAAACAACACGCAGTTGGTAATATGGGCAAACAAACAAATCCAAATGCAGGTAAATTGACGCATTTAGAAAGTCATTGTAAGTCAAATAAACATTAGAGACACAAAGAGAACCAAAGCAAAATGTTAGGAGGCACAGGGGGTCCAGATTGGTTTTGTATAAGGGATGAAGAGCTGATGTTTCTTAAGGGAAATTTGGCTACCCTTTCTGTTTTAAATTTGGATCTCCATCCTAAATTTATAGTAGACTGTTGAAATGGATTAGTGTGATTCATACTTCATTTAGATTGTAATCCAATCTGTAGGTTTCTTTTACCTTAGGTTGATCTAAATCCTTTCGCTTCGATTATTCTATCACCTTGTCTCCCTATCACCTTATCTTGTTGATGTTAATACGTCTTGTGTCTGCTTCTTTTACTTTTATCTTGAGCCGGGGGTCTATCGGAAACAACGTCTCTACCTTCACAAGGTAGGGGTAACTGGTAAGGTCTGTGTACACTCTACCCCCAGACCCTACTTTGTGGGATTACATTGGGTTTGTTGTTGTTATTGTAATCCAATTCAATAGAAAATCAGATGCGGGTAGATAATCACTGGGGACGCCAGCCGCTAGGAAACCACATAACGGTGCAGTCATCCAAAAAAAACAATAAACTAGCATTGCGGATGGAAAACTGGAAGTGACTTGTGGATTTGCCCCCTACTGGATGTCCAAAAAAAGGGCAGCCCGGTGCACTAAGCTCCGCTATGCATGGGTCCGAGGAAGGACCGGACCATATTCGGTCTTATGTACGCATCCTTACCTTATATTTACCTTATATTTCTGCAAGAGGCTATTGTGGCGGCTTGAACCGGTGACCTTCTGGTCACACGTTTTACCATTGCGCCAAGGCTCCTCTTCGCCTTACTAGATGTCAATGCAATATAATTTTGACAATGGTAAAAGAACATAGAGTACACTCACCCATATTCTCTACTAATTTTGGCATCAAAAACATCACAACCACCATGAATCCAACCATCAGACCCATTGGGCTTTTCACCAGAGACATAACGGAGAAGGGTTCCCTTATCTGCAAGAAATATTCACATACTAATTAGGAATCTAATAGAAAGGAGGAAAATGGAAAAAAAGGAGTACGAAAAAAGTCCGACCTCATAATATTGCTCATCTCCCAGTGGCTCCAAAACCAGCTCAGTCAGGTTCCTTCGATTCTCAGTTAATGCAGCTCGAACCTTTCCAGGGTTTCTGGCACTGACATCAACTCGGACCTGAAGGCCAGAAGAAGCTTATTATCCTAAAACTCCTTGACAAAGAATTGGTGATGAAATAGGCAGAGATCATGGAAGAGAAGCTCACTGGAGAAAAGAAATAGCCAATTGCAGATACTTCTATGAGATGCGTCCCTGCTGGCACATTATGGCTTTTGAAGTCTAAAGTCAAAGAATTACCATAATAACAGCATAATCTCCCCGCGCTCTTTGCATACAATTTTCAACAGTTAGCCTCAAGGTACTGAGTATTACTTATTGACAACATATGAAGTAAATCAAAAGGCTCGAACATCACAGGATAATGACAAGGGAGCTGATAAAAGACAATAGATAAAAAGGTCTAATACCTGATAAATCTTAAACATAAGGCTAGCACCAAGCATGTGACAAACAACATGATGCACCAATTTATTGATCACATGTTATTCATGGAACTAATCTAGGAAACTTATTGCCAACTAATATAATTTTTTTTGGATAAGGTAAATAATTTTATTAACAATTGGGGACTAACCCCGTATACAAGCTGTATACCAACTAATATAATTAATCTTAGCATCTAGTGCTATAGCTAATCCATCTGCATAGCAACACATGCTTCGAATTTCACTCTTCCCTCCTTAGTCAGCCTGATTGTACTCTGACTAAATTTCAGTGATCATTCAGTTCCACCACATATCCAAAGAAGAATGAGCTCCTTTTGCTCCATATCTCAGCAAAATGGTTTCACCAATTTCCAGCATTCAATAGGAATCTTTGTCTATTTCGTTGATCATCTTCTTGATCAAACAGCCAAATACCAGGCAGAAGTAATCTCGTAAAACTATCTTTAAGGAGAAATCCAGTTACATAGCCTTGCTACCTTGCTCTCTTAATTCATCATACAGAGTAGAAACAATAACAATTACCCAGTATAGTCCCACAGAGTGGGGTCTGGGATCATACAGAGTAGAAAGACAGAAGGAAATCATTTTTCAGTAAAGTTTGCAACAGCTAGTGCTTGGAAGTGAAGTCAGCTTATTATCACGATTAGAGCCACACATCGTTCTTTGCCAAATACCACCAATTTGTCCTTGCTCTTATATTAGGTATATTAGGCCAACAATAGACAAAACAGAGAAAATATATGCGATAACAGACAACAGAAAGAAGGCAAATAAAGAACATTAGATTAAATTCTAGTTTAACAGTTAATTTGATGTACAACCTGGTTCTGGTCTATTGTCATAAACAGAAACAACTTAATTCCACTATTTCATATATGTCAAGAAACCTCTAAAGAAAGAATATATAGTTGGCAAACAAATGTGAAAATCACAGCATAGGGGAGTCCCTTTCTTTGGAGATAGAGCATCAGTTCAATAACAGTGGATTAACAAAAATAACAACAATGACACCTTCCGTAACAAAGCTGAGAAATACATGGACATATAAGAAGGATACAATGAGAAATATCCATCAGGTCTCAGGAAAGTAACTCTTTGGCCACCATTGAGTAGGACTTTGACATTTGATGCTTTAGCTGCCAAACCAGATCCTTTCAAGCTAAAGCCTACCACACAAAAAAAGGTAGAAACATTAACAGTTATAACATATCAAGAAAAGGATTTGAAGCATACTTTAGTGCAAGGTGTTCACTGCAACATAAAGAGAATTGTAGCACTGTAAAATGACAGAACAAAACATTGAAAAACTAATAAGAATTGGAACATGCCACCAAAAATATACTCCATCCAGGAATTGGAAGTCTAAAACAATTACATCCTGACATCTACACTCTGAATCAACAACATGGGGTTACTATGAAGGAACTATGGTCTACACAGGGTTGGAATCTGATATTCAGAAGATTCCTACAGGATTGGGAGGTGCCTAGAATGATTGAATTTTATAGAACACTAGAACAATGTAGTGGACTACAGGAGGGTGAAGATACACTCAAATGGCAAAAACACAGTAGTGGGATGTATTCAGTCAGCTCAGCATACAAAGATTTGAACCAGGAGGGATCTCAACTCAGTTTATGGCCTTGGAAACACATATGGAAAGTAAAAGTGCCTTATAAAGTGGCATGTTTTACCTGGTTGGTAATTAGGGAGGCTGTCCTCACTCAGGATAATCTAAGGAAGAGGGGTATACCAATTGTTTCAAGATGTTATTTGTGTGGGAATGATGCTGAGACAATCAGCCATCTGTTTCTTCATTGTAGAATGACCAGCCAATTATGGGATTTGTTCATTAATCTCAGAGGTGCTAGATGGGTAATGCCAGGGAGAACCTCTGAACTTTTATTATGCTGGAACACAGAGGTAGACTATACCACAGACAAAAACAGATGGAAAATTGTCCCAGCAACTATTTGGTGGACAATTTGGAAAGAAAGGAACCTGAGATGCTTTGAAGATACAACCAACTCACTACAAAAGATTAAGATGAAGTGTATTCTTCTTTTTTGTTTTTGGTGTAAATCAGAATATGTAGAGGATCCTGATTCAATCCTAGATGTTTTGAGTTCCTTGTAAGAAGAACAAGGACTATATTATTGCTTTTTCATATTGTAATTGCCTATTTTGGCTTCCAGCACAAAGTTTGTGCTGATGATTTTTCGAATATACTGGACACTTTACCTTCTCAAAAAAAAAAATATACTCCATCCAAGCCAAATGGACGTCTTACTTCTTACTATGGCCAAACCACAATCCTATTATACTTTTGGCCCACTTCTCTCAAGACATAATTACAACTATCTCGCCACTCAAATTAGGTCAAACAAAATGAAACTAAGGCAACATTACGATACAGGGGCGACAAGCAACATCAACCGCAGCAACGGTCTGGATTAGAATAATATTGTTCCTTCATCACCATCTGAGAATAAAAGAACACAGATATTTTTGGTCTTATTTTTGAGAAACAACAAGTTTCTGCTTTACGCACTAATGAACTCTCAGTATTTCTAGTTTATGGACTATTTATCCCAGTAAATAGTCCCAAAATAGAATTTCACTGACACAACTTAGATTCCACCTAAAAAGCAGATGTCTAAGTTAGCTTATGCATAAAAAGGATAAAAAGAGGATAGCTTTTCCAATCAACAAAAAGATACTGAAGCTTCAAACGCATAGTGAGTGCCCTTGGGTCGAGTAAACTTTTCATGGACATCATCTATCCCTTCAGTATAATCCAATTCAGCAGCCAAATCATTAGATATAAAGATTTAGCCCCTTTAGCCGTATACATTAGCCTCAATATTTCCACTATTATTCTATCCTTCTCTTGTCCCTTTCTATAATCTTTACACTATATCCTAGAATCCATATCCTCTTCTTGAATTTACTTTGCCTTTTCGCCAACCCATGCAGTTGGTTGGTTCACTTTATTTTTATGACTTTGGTGTCCGAGTCAGCTTGTGCACTCCTCGAACTATTCTATCAAATCCACAAAGCACAAATAATGGGTAACTCTGTCCCCCCGGGAAAGAAATCACCTACTGTTGGAAAAAGCAACTGAGAAGTTTGTGGACTCATCCTCAATTCCCCACGCCCATGCTCTTCATAGAAAAGGCAAATGTTTTCCTCCAACAAACAAGTTAGATCCTATGGCCAAACACCATCCTTCTTGTTCAAGTAAATACCAAAGTAGAGCTTTTACAGAGTACATTCAAACTCAATAAGAATGCTAAGCTCCAACAAGTTTTCCCCCAAAATAAGAAGCAAAATATACAACCTTGTAAATCTACAAACCAAGTAGAAAAATAAAAATTTTGCAACTGGGTTCTTCTATATAATTGAATCAAAAGAGGAAAAGGCAAAATTAAATGAGTACACACCAGGAATTTTGACACGACCATTAATAGTATAACCATCACTGCTCCTGCCAAAACAGTCAAAGCAACAATAAAAGACCAAGCTTAAAACAACTCAATATTAATATTTTTCACCTAGAAGTATATAGTTGAGAAAACTTCACGGATTTAATTATATTATAAGATCCGCCTCTGATATAGCGAACCAAAAACCCAGATTTGAAAAAGATAAAAACTGGGTTTTTGTATAAAAATACATGTGTGGAAAAAGAGTACCCGGATGCGATCGCGAGTGCGGACGGAAGTAGAGAGCATAAAGAAAGAAGTGAGATTAGCGAGAGCAAGATTGTCATCGACTTATGCATCACTGCCATTGGAAATATCGATTCCTGCTCAGCAAGGAGGAGAGATACAAATAGAGTTGAATGGTTGACAGTATAAAAGACCAATAGCCAATGGAGAAACAGTGATGAAAAATGTGGACTGAAGTGTAAAGAGAAGAAAGCCAGAGAAGCCCCTAACAGCTTTAATTGCTTAAGTTTGAATAGAAGTCCCAATTCGGTTTACAAAGTTGGAGCGACATATTTTATGCTCTGATACCGGTTAGTATATGGCCAATTTACTTTCGTTTGCTAATAATTTTGTAATTTCTTCTTTTAAAATTTTTTCTAGTAAGCTTAAAAAGGAAAAGACTTTGAAAAAATGTAGAAATCAATGTAACATCGTCACTTGGCATAAATTCTATTTTTTATCCAAAAATATTCAGTCATTCACTCAGTTCCCCTTTCCCCATTTTCTCCACTCACTACCCACTTTTCCCATTTTCCCCACTCATGTTCACCACTCATGTTCCCACTATTCCATCGCTCATTCTCTCTTCCATAAAATAAACATACACATAACAAGGACGGGGCTCTCATCTTCAAAAAAAGCAGCGGCACCCCTTAGAAGAAAAGAACGATCTCTTTCTCTGAATAAAAACCTAGGCATACACATATACAATAAAAAAGGGGGAAATTGGAGAACAAAAATCAGAGAGTCCACAAGAATATGGGAAAACGACAAAGAGGGGGCGAGAATTGATTAAAAAAAATCGAAAAGGAAAACTATTTGACGATTTAAAAACCAAATAGTGCTTTCTTCTTCTTCTTCTGGCATGCAGCAACAGTAGATTTCTCCTTCCTTTATTCTTTACTTAGTTTCACCTTCACTGTGGAAACACCGTGAAAAGCGTGGCCATAAAACTCCATTAAAATCAGCAGCCACCACGCTCTTAAAAATCAGTCCGAAGCAGCTCCAAAACCTTTCCAAAAATCACCTGAAATACCTAAAAAATGCAGTTACTATCACCCTCTAAACTCGAGCAAGCAACAGCTTCAAACCTGAATCGTTGAGGTCGTGTTCGAGTTTTCATTCGCCGTAGCAAGTCTGAATCTCCAGTCCTGGCTCTGATCTAAGTAGGAAGCATAGGCGGAAAGACACATCCAAATTAAGGTCCGTTTTTATTTTTCTTTTATAGAATAAAATGAGTTTTCATCTCTTGTGCATTCTATATGATAGTGATGTTTAATCAAATATATTTCTAAATCATCATTTTTGTGTGATACTGTTTGGTTTAAATTTGAGACGTTTTGAATTACTGTAACTTCTTTTTCTCTGTGTTATTCACGATTCTTTGCATGAAGTTAAAAATAGTGATGCTTGCGTACTTCATAGTTCTTTGTTAAATTTCTATATTGAAGAAGAACTGAAAGGATTTTTATTGGATTATTTATTCATTATAACTTTCCTTTATTACAATTGTTTAATGTTGTAGTGATGCCTTTTCAATAGTAATCCCCACATGTTGTTCATAAACTAATGTAGTTATCCCTTATTGTCCTCCCTTCACCAAATTAATTTTCATAACTCGTGTACTTTACAATGAAGTATTTAACAATTAATCAATTCATGAATCATCATAGCTTGCTTTAGGCGCGATTAATAAATTATCGTGATCACGGGTTGTGACGATCCAAAGGGTCATCACCGTGGTTCTCCCTTTTTCTGCGCTTCCGAGGCCTTGGAAACCTCACTTCTGGTTGCCTCGATTTGCGTGCGCACTCCGGGCGCGAAGCCGGAAGATTTTTATGTTAAAATATATGAATTCTGTGAAAAATTTGAAGAATTATGATATTAATATTGATATAGTTGACTTTGGTCAACATTTTTGGTAAACGGACCCGGACCGGTGATGTGACGGTCCCGGGAGGTCCGTAGAAAAATATGGGACTCGGGCATGTGCCCGGAGTCGAAATCCGAGGTCCAGAACCCCGGTAAAAGAATTTTTCTGTTAAATTGTTTTCTGAAATTATAAGGGAAAAATGGAAATGAAAATGAGTTAGAAAATATAGGTATCGGGCTCGTATTTTGGTTCCGACGCCCGGTAAAGGTCTTAAATATGCGTTAAGCGCTTCCTGTGAAATTTGGTCGAAATCGGACGTCGTTTGACGTGTTTCGGACCTAAATAGGTAAGGTTGAAGGTTTATGAACTTTGAAATGAAAATTATGAGTTTTGGGGGTTGATTCTTTAATTTTGATGTTATTTTAGCGATTTGATCGCTCGAGCATGTTCGTAGGATGATATCGAGTTAGTGTGTGTGTTTGGTTGGGAGCCCCGAGGGCTCGGGAGTGTTTCGAAGGTGTTCCGGGAGGTTTTAAAATTTAGAAAAATTGCAGAAAATCTGCAATTGGTGCCCAGTGATTTTCTTCTTCGCGTTCGCGTTAGGCCTCTCGCGTTCGCGAAGCTTCAGCTTCGTCCTCCATCGCGTTCGCACTAGCCCTCCCGCGTTCGCATAGCCTTGCTCCCTTTACTCCTTCGCGTTCGCGTTCTGGCCATCGCAATCCCGAAGCTTTGCTGCTTCCTTCAACGCTTTCGCGTGTCTCCTCACGCGTTCGCGTAGGCCCAGACCCCAGCCCTTCATTCTACGCGTTCGCACTCCCCCTGTCGCGAACGCGGTGCTTCCCAGCCCCCTTCTTCGCGAATGCGGCCCCCATGTCGCGAACGCGAAAGGCAAATTTGCCCAGCGATTTTAAATATCCAAAACAGAACCCATTTCGGATTTTTCCCCCATCTCACGAAAACCTTTCTTCTCCACAGCCTTGTAACGATCCTTGGAGCATTTCTTCACCAATATATTCTTGGGTAAGTACTACCTAAATCATTTTCTTCATTTTCTATTATCATCCAATGAAATCCTAGGCCTAGAACATGTAATCTAGGGTTGAAATTGGGGAAAATGGGTTGTGTTAGGGCTTTTCGATTTTCTTGAATTTAGACCTCGTTTTGGGGTCGAATTTGAAAACAAATTGTATATTCGGGCTCTTGGGGGAATGGGTAACATGGAATTAGTTCGAACCTCGTGTTTTGGCCAAGCGGGTCCGGGGGCAATTTTGGAATTTTTAGAAGAAGGCTTGGAAATTCATATGTAAGTATTGGGTTTAGTTTGTTTAGCTATTATTAATATTGTAAAGTCATTATCTCATAGATTTGACTGAGTTGGAGCCGAATTCGAGGGGCAAAGCTATACTAGAGGCTTGAGTTGAGTTTGGAGCATTCGAGGTAAGTGTTTGATCTAACTTTGGTTTGAGGGAATAAGATTAGAGTATCATAAATGTTATTTGCTAATTGATCGAGTACGGTGTATAGGCGTGGTGACGAGTGTCTATACACCGGAGTCTAGCATGACCGTGGGTCTTTGTTTGTACTTGTTTTGAGATAAATTCAGAACTCTTCTAAGCGAAAAATACGATTTCTATATAATGTGCAAGGTATGAGAAAGAATTATGACTTGTGAACTCTTTGGAGCGTTGGCTCGAATGCTAAAGTAATTGTTGAGTAAGAAATGAAAGAAAGCGAAAGAAATGTGATTATTCCCTTGCCGGTCTGCGTTCGTATAGTGATTTTTCCCTTGTCGGGATGTGAAAGTTATTGTGGTTGTTCCCTTGCCGGGATTTAGCTGTTTACTTGTGTTTTCCCTTGCCGGGACTTCTATTACTGTTTGCCTATCCCCTCGCCCCATTGATTGTGATTGATGTTTGGGTGAGGAAGAGTGATAAAGCACGAAGGGTGATGCCGTGCCATGTTTTGGTTATTATTGCACGAAGGAACATTCCGTGCCATATTTTGATTATTAATGCACGAAGGAACATTCCGTGCCATGCTTGATTATTAATGCACGAAGGAACATTCCGTGCCATGTTTTGATTATTATTGCACGAAGGAACATTCCGTGCCATGTTTTGATTATTAATGCACGAAGGAACATTCCGTGCCATGTTTTGATTATTAATGCACGAAGGAACATTCCGTGCCATGTTTGATTATTATTGCACGAAGGAACATTCCGTGCCATGTTTTGATTAGTAATGCACGAAGGGACATTCCGTGCCATGTTTGATTATCATTCTCGTTGACTTTGTAGTTGTACCGTTCCATTCCTTAATTATTGACCTTGTATTCTAAACTGCTACAGCCCCTACAGCATGCTCCCCTCCCTCTTGACTTGTTAAATTTCTGTATTCTCTTCTTTTGCGTATATATATATTTGAACTGCACAGGTTTGTTTGGAAGTCCGGTCTAGCCTCGTCACTACTTCGCCGGGGTTAGGCTAGACACTTACCAGCACATGGGGTCGGTTGTGCTGATGCTACGCTTCTGTGCATTTTTGCACAGGTCCAGGTTTTGAGGAGCAGCAGCAGCAGTAGTACGGTAGCAGGATTTCATTTACGCGAGACTGAGGTAGCCTTGCAGGCGTCCGCAGGCCCTGCGTCTCTTCTCATTGTTTTCTTTTAGACTGTTGCCTCCTTGTTTCGAGACAGACAGCTGTTATATTTCTTTCAGACCTTTGTATTTAGTTTATTCTTAGTGGTTCGTGAGTAATGTGAAACCAAATCTTGGGTAGAGGTTGTTTTTGACTATTCCGCGTTTTAAATTCTTATTTACAAGACAGACTTCCGCTATTGTTCTTATTAGACTCCATGTTTTATATCGATGTTATAAACTGCTAAATTAATTGTTTAGTAATGAAAAGGTAATTAAGTTTGGCTTGCCTAGCTACCACGAGTAGGCGCCATCACGACTCTGATGGTGGAAATCCGGGTCGTGACACGGGTATGGTCACGATACGTAATCCCTAATTCGGGTGTGCATTTCATGTGATCCGACCACAACTTCGAATAATAATAAAATAAATATGTTGCAAATTACGGGTGCATTTCATGTAGCGTGGTTTGCGATGTGTTCCAAAATCGCAAGTGTATGACAATCATAACTTGTTCAAGAAATAATTCCATAAATCCTAAAAAGCGGTTTAAAATAATTAAAAGCGATTATAAAATTAAAATACACAATAGGTTCAAAATACGTAATTAATCAAGTAATTAGGTCAATTATTAATAATTGAGCGACCGTGCTAAAACCACGGAATCCGGAAATGCCCAACACCTTCTCCCGGGTTAACAGAATTCCTTACCCGGATTTTT